TTGTCAGCTTTTAAAGCTTGTTTTCTTCCTGCTGCTCCCTGATACCTTACTAGGATCAGGGAATTGAATTCCTGTTTGGACACCCCCAGCAAGAGCAAAACCTCTAAGACATCAGAAGCATGGCCTAGGGAGGAAGCACACACACTCACACACAGACCTAGCTACTTTTAATAGCTGGTAAGAGCCAGAGAAAATCCAATTACAGATGAATCGATCCATTAAAAAGAAAGGGGGAGAATAAAAGAAAGAATGTTGGAGAGACAGAACCAAATTACAGCCGGATAATAGAATTAAGGGTCTGTAGAACAAACTGGGAAAAATAACAAAGGGATCCGGGGTTGGGGGCTCCTTCATGGCTCTCTGATGATTTGATTCTCTGGGCCCTGAGACTCCAGAGTGGGCGGTGTAGGGCCAACGCCCTTAAGAAGTGAGCAGATCAGGAAGAGCTGGAATTGTGTTTGGCAAATCATATTGTACAAAAAAGCGAACCACCACCGTCACCCCCACGTGTGGTCTCTGGAAAGAGGGTTGTATTTGGGTTAAACAGATGCTTGCAGCCAAGGATGGGAGCAGAGAGCACCCAGGCTTTTGGTCTGCCTTGCTTCGTGGTTTTCTCTTTCCTAAGAAATTCCCGATGTTTTCAAAGAAACATCTCACTGTTAAATATCATTGCTCTCTCGCATGCAAACACTGAGAACAACACCAGCACTTTTAAGTTTATTTATTTTCTATTTCGGGGGAGGGGGGAAGAGAGGAAGGTGGGGCTGTTAATCCGGCAACAACCTCTACAGCTGTGCCTATTATTGGTGGGTTCTAGAATAACATCCGTTGCGATGTATTTATGGAAAGGCCTCCTTAACTAGGCCACATAAAGAGCCAGTGCATCTATAAATAAATTAAGGAGGCGCGGGCGGCTGCCCCTCTCCCGGCCCTGCCGCGCAGCTGTCGTCTTTGTGCGCGGCTTCCCTGCTCCATTGTCCACGCCCGCGCACCCGGGCGGGGGCGGCGCGTGCGCGGCGGGCGCACCTTGGCCGGCGGCGTCTGGGGCTGCGCTCCAGTGGGGAGACTGTGCTGCTCCGCGGCTGTGGGCTGGCCTTGCTGGGCCCGGAGGTTCCGGCCCCTGACTCGGCCCTCGCAGGTGACCAGCCTGCGGTCACCTCCTGGGAGCCAGCTGCACCAGCCTGGGCTCAGGCCGGGCTGGGCTGACAGATGGTGGTGTTGGGAAGTGCGTGGGGGAGGGCGGGGTGATGGGAGGACAGCGCCAAACACAAGAACAACAAAATCACCCTGAATATGTGAGACGGAACAGGCCAAAGGTGGGGGCGATGTGTAAGAACCAGGGAAACTTCTCCCCCCAGCCTGGGAGCCCAGTCTTTTCTTTCCATCCTTCTGCCAGTCTTCGCTCTTGGGGTCAGGCATAGAGGATCCCGAGTTTTAGCAGGTGTTTTGCTGGGTACTCAGAGGGGAGATTTAAAAATAAACAATAAGTAAAATAAAATCGTAAAATTGCACCCCTTTCCACTGTAGAAACGGGGCAGAGAACTTCCTGCTGCTTGGCAGGCATTTCTGGATTTTGTGCGACTTCTATCTTGAAAAGGACTGCACTACTCAAAGCAGGACCCTTGGACCTGCAAGGGCAGTATGTCCTGGTTCTAAAAGTGGATTCTCAGGCCCCAGGACCCACTGAAGCAGAACCTGCCCTTTCACAAGATCCCCTGTGGGTTTCTAGGTACATTCCCTTTGAAAAGCTCTGGCCTGCGGTACTGGAGGTTATTAACTCTGGTTGCACATGAAGATCACCTGGAGTTAGGGGTTGCTCTGTATCCTTGCCAATGATGGTGACACTCTAAGTCTCAGTGCCTGTGAATATGACCTTATATGGAAGTATGGGCTTTACAGATGATCAAATTCAAATTAAGTCAGGAGGGTGAGCTAAAGTAGCATGACTATGTGCATATCAGAGAGACAGACAAACATGCAGAGAATGTCATGCGGAGATGAAATCAGAGGGGCAATGGTGTATATAGAAGCCATGGAATTTCAGAGATTGCTAACTATCATCAGGTGCTAGGAGAGAGGCACAGATTCTCTCCCAGGACCTTCAGAAGGAACCACCTTGCCAGCACCTTGGTCTGGACATCTAGCTTCCAGAATTCAACAGAAAAACAAAACAAACAAGCAAAAAATAAACACTGTTGTTTAAGCCACCAGATTGGTAAGATTATGAACTTTATTCTGGCAGCCCTAGCTAATGGAAACACCCAAATATTTCCAACAACAAGTCAGGTGTCTGAACTTCATCTGAAATGTTTGCCATCAGAGTACATAGGGGTGTGACCAATGGAACTGCATTTTCTACATGTCCCTTGGGCAACTCTGAAGTGGTTGGGCATGTGGGATCCAGATCCCATCTACCCCATCATCCAGGGCCCTTACTAAGAGAGAGCATACCAGTCTGCTGGGAAACTACCAGCAATGGGAACATTACCCTATGGGACAGCTAGATCCATCATGGAAAGTTTTAATTGTTTATAGAAATTTTATTTAAACATAAAATCCCCTGTGATTTTCTCCATTAGAAAGGAGGACACTGAGGTCTCAAGGTGTTTAGTGACTCACCCAAACCAGTCATTACAGGACTGACTGTGGATCTGAGTCCAGGTAGTTGTCAGAATTTATTTGACTGACCATTTAAAATATCCAGACCGCCCAACAGTTTACAAAAAACATCTCAGTGGTGAAAACAGGCTTCCTTTGGTGCTGGGAGAGGGACACCCAGAAGAGGGCCATGAGGTCGGGGCTCTGGGATTTGCCCTGTGTGTGTATGGAACCTAAATGAGCTGGAAGGGGAGGCTAGAGAATAAATTCATTTCTTGTTTAAGTGCCTGCTCCTGACCCTGGAGCCTTAAATGGTTCCAGGCAGGTCTGGCTTGCTCCATGGCAAGTTCACATCTGTGCAATGGGATAAGAGGCTCTGCCCTTCCTACCTTATCGCAATCTTGAGGGTCTCCAGTGCAATGACAGATGGGAATATGCCCCAGGGACCACAAGTTCAGTGATTACTACTTGACATGAGAAGAGAACTTAAACTGTTTTCATGAGACTACTTCTTCCCAGGGCAACTCTGGCCACTCCTCCTCCCAACCCAGTTTTGATTTCTGCTTAATTTCTACCAAGCTTCCAAACTTAAGTGGAAGTGGGAAGCATTGGGAGGATTAGGTAGGGAGAGACCAGTCAATCCAGTCATCTACTCCCCTCCTACCAGGGCACACCCACAATGGACTGTGTGTCCCCCTTCCAATAGAGAGCCCCTGAGCCTCATTTGCTTGGGAGAAGGGCTTTCCATTTCCTTTATCTCTTAGAAATTTAGATTCCCATTCCTCATCCATCTCATCTATTGGGAAGGATTTGACTTATTCAGGTTTCAAAAGTCCTGATATTGTTTTGATTCCCACTCTGAGGTTTTTTTTTTTTTTTTTAATTGATTTCTGTGTCCATTCATTCTACCGACTCCCCTTGGAGTTAGCTCTGTTCCAGACGCTGTGGGCGCTGGCAGTACGGAACAGATGAAGATGCTTTCCTGTGCTCTGGGAGGTTCCAAGAAATCATGAATGGTGTGACTCTACTTTGTGTACAACCAGAGAAATGAAAAATTGTGCTTCATTTGTGTACTATGAATTGAAATCCGTTCTGCTGTCATGTATAACAAATTAGAAGAAATACATTTAAAAAAAATTAAATTAAAAAAAAGAAATGCTATGTAAGAACTGCACATAGTTCATGATGGTTTTCAAGGCTGTTCTGCTCAAAGGTCTTACAGCTGCCTTCTCCCTCCCCTTGCTATGTGGGGAGTACTCTTATTCCTGGCCATGTGACCTTGGGCAGTTCACAGCATCTCAATAAATATTGGCCAGTCACTATTCTAAGAGCTTCCTTTATGTCAATTGTTGACAACTTTAGGGTATAAATATTATTAGTGTCTCTATTTTGGAGATGAGGGAACATAGGCACAGAGAAGTTAGCTTATTTGCCACACATCACAAAACTCATTGCAGAACCAAGAATGAAGTCTAGACTCTTTGACTTCTTATTCCAGGTCCATGTTAACATGTCTCCCTAAGTTGTCCCCTATGTCAACTTTGTGATGTAACATTGCTATTCAAATTAATGCATGGAGGAGGAGGAGTGGGGGGAGTAGGGGAGGGGAAGAGGGCAGGAGGAGGAAGGAAAGGAGGGGAGAAGTGGAGAGAAGGGGGAAGAAGAACAGCAAATTCATTTTTTTTGGTAAAGAAATCTGAAATTCTTCATGAGTCTTCTTTTCAAAACTGCACACATAGCACAAATTTTCTGTATTAGGAGAAAATCAATGGAAGATGTTGAGAAAATGTAAAGGATGAAGTTTTTCCCAATTAAGGGATTTGGGGAAAGAAAACTTTGAATGCCTAGTATATAAGAGTCCCTGAATTGAATATTCTCATATGAGTAACCTACTCTATATGTATTGAGAGAGAAAGAGAGAGAGAGAGCGCGCGTGTTAGAGTTATATATAGATGATATGATCCCACACAGTTCAGAGGTAGTACTGCCCCAGTTTTATAGATGAAAAAATGAAGGCTCAGAGAGGTGACGGTGACGTGCCTACAAGGTTGGCAAGTGGCAGAGCCTGGGTTTTAAGAAAGAGCTGTCTGATTCCAAACCAGCACTCTCCTTACACGTTTCTGGGCTCTTGGGCAGACAGGAATCAGCAGTTCTCTGCAGTTAGTATTCATCTGTTTTCCCTTCATCCTTCATTTATCAACGGTTCCTGTACCAATTTCTGTGTGCTATTTATCTACAGATCATTCAACCAAATCAACCCCACAGTCTTTTCTGTCAGGAGCTGTAGTTTTAGATTATTGTATAATTATAACTTCTCTGAGATACAAGATGTACCCAAGGAATCCTCACTTTAAGGATAAAGAAATCTGACACCCCAAGGGGAGGAATCGCCTCACTTGCCCCCATGGCTCTCTGTGTACAGCCTGAAGGTAGGTTGGCAAAGCCAGAGGAGCCTTTCGAACTTCAAGGTCTTGCAGGAATAGGTTGGTCACAGAAAGAGATATTCCCAGTTCTCCTTGCTGCTTGGGCAGATTGGCTTCTCATTGTTTTGTTCTGTGTTAGTAGTTCTAAGACATTGCATACGACAAATCAGAATGAAGATGATGGGTGTGAAGTTAAATTCAGAAAAAAAATGCAAACAATGCAGTAAAGTTCAAGAATGACTAAAATTAAAGCCATTTCCCCCCCTTTCTTTTATAAGAGAGATATGTAAATTCAATTGAATTCCCTGTGCTATGCTAGGAGTCTTGTACTGGGTCATTCAATTTAATCCTCCTGACTGCCCCCAGTGAATATATGAATATGAATATATTATTATAAAATAGAGATGCTGTTTTAGCCTATTTTGTGTTGCTATAGTGAAATGTCTGAGGCTGGGTATTTTATATGTAAAAGAGGTTTATTTGGCTCTTGATTCTGGTGACTGAAATATCCAAATAGTGCGGTGTTGGTGTTCTGGTAAGGGCCAGTTGGCTAGATCAAAACAGGGTGGGGAAGTAGAAAGAGAATTGGTCATGGGCAGAAAAGACTAAGCATATGGGGTAGCCCTGCTTTATTAATATCCCACTAACTCATTCCAGAGTACTGGCATTAACCCTGTCAGAAGAACCTGACCTAGTTATCTGCCACTGGTCCCCACTGCCTGAAATTTTCACCACCTCAACATCCTCCAGTGGAGACCATATATCCAGCACATGAATCATCCTAGGACAAACCACACCTGAACCTAGCACACTGAATTATTTGAGATAATGCAAATAAGAAACCAAGACCAGTACCAGGCTTGTAGTTGTCGTTCAAGGGTGGGCATCGTGGCTGGTGCTTGAAGTCCAATTGGTGGTGTGGAATGTAAGTCCCAGAGAGATTCAGCAATTTACCTACTATCACACAGTGAAGGAGTGGTGGAGCAGGGATCCAGCCCAGACCTTTCTGGCCCCAAAGGTCACTCATATGCTTCCTACAGCACCTTGGTGCTACCAAGTCATATTTTGCAGGGAGAGGGGGAGAAAGAACAAAGCACAACTTTTTATCTTTTTTTTCTTTTTAAAGATCTGAAAGTCTGTTTCCCCAGGACCAACCCTGTCTCTTACCTGTCTCTTTTTTAAATCTATCTTTCCACTTCTAGTTTTCTAGACTCACTAATAAAAGGCCACCATACAGTCCTTTATGAGGTCCTGGCTCCACTCAAAGCCTTAAAGGTAACCTGTGAGAAACCAGAAGGCACCATCGCCCTGGGCTTTAGGTCTTTCTCAAGCCCAGAGCTAATGAGACTTCCCCTCCATGGTGACTCACAACCATCTCCCTCCCTGCCCCTTGGCCAACCAGGCTTATGACTCACCCTGGCTTCTGACCATCTCAGAAGATCTACAAATTTGAGTTCAACCCTTCAAGGGCGAGAAGCACCATGGTTAACCCCTCTTCCTCCTCGTTGACCAAGGGGAACTCCATGTCCCTGTGGGTTTCCCCCATCAGCTGGCAGCTCCATTTTAGCTCCCCTCCCGAGGCCCTTAGTCAAGGGGACATCCCTAGGTCCAACGAGGTCAGGTTGCAAAAGCTTCAAGACCCAGACATTGGGTAAACTCTGGGGTTTTGCAAGAGAATTAGACCAAGGAAGCCAAGTCTTCTGTCAAGCCAAACTTATTACGGATCCTGGCAGGAGCAAGGGGCCCCTTGGTGCTCTGTCATTGCCTGTGGTTTCAGGGCCAGTTATAATTAGCAAGATGGCTCATCCCGGAGGAAAGTGGAGAATGAGCCTCGGAACTGGTCCCCCTGCCTCCCTTCTGGCCTCCCTCCAGCTTGTCCATCATTATGTCATTCTCAGGCTTAAGATCTTTAATGACTTCCCTTTAACCTCTGTTTAACAAGAGGAAGAATATTTTTATAGCTTAACTAAAAATGAAAAAAAGAGAGAACACCTCTCCTCTCCTCCTGTGCCTCCGGCTTTCCCTCTCAACTGTCCCTGGTCCTCTGTGGCTTTGTTCGGCTGCTGTCTCTTCTGACTTGTCAGGCTGGGCTGCATACCTACTCTGTGCCTCTGTTACACACCCTGGAATTCCTTTGAGACCAATCCTCACTCACCTCCACCATACTCTAGCTTTGTATCTATTCATCCACCTTTGTAACTGTGCCTTGAGATCCTCAAGGGACAGAGCCATGTTAGTGCTAGCAACATCGTAGGTGACTGAACCAAGTAGCAAGGTGATTGGGAGTTTGCCTGTGCATCATTTTATGCTCTTGGAGATCCACTGGAAATTAGGGAAAGTCATTTCTCCCTCTTCCAGAAGGGTTAACGATTCTGTGCTGCTGAGATCTGAATTTCTTTTTTCCTAATGAAAGCAATAAATAGCCTTTTTGGGTTTTAGGGAGAAGGAATGGGCAGGGCCTTTCCCTACCCAACACATATTTTTTTTTTCCCACTTGAATTCACTTGAGTTATAGTCTAAAGTAGAAAGGGGCTTCTTCAACCAACTCAACCCACCTGGTGAATTGGTTGGATCTTCAGGGATGGGTCAATGCGTGGCTAGGGGAATGTTTACTGAGTTGTTTCAGCTGAAAAGTGGGCTTCCAGAGGCTCTCTGGTGGCTTATTAGACCTGATTATTGAGTGCATGGCCTCAGGAGTTCTGGCAAAGATCCCTGCATCTGAGCTTTTGCAGAGGGGGGGCATTTCTGCTGACATTACCATCTACTTTTTGATCCATGACAGCTGAGTAAGTCAGCACCAGGGACTGAAATTGAGAACTAAGGCTCATGTCTCCTCGCCATCCCACTTTTTTTTTTTTTTAAGAGAGAGAGAGAGAGAGAGAGAGAGAGAATATTTTTAATATTTAATTTTTAGTTTTCAGTGGACACAACATCTTTATTTTATTTTTATGTGGTGCTGAGGATGGAACCCAGCGCCCTGCGCATGCCAGGAGAGCACACTACAGCTTGAGCCACATCTCCAGCCCCCCAGCCCACTTTTTGTTTCACCCAACTGAACGAGGGTTCTCATTAAAAAGTGCACCTAGGTCTGAACTTCCTTGATAAGCAAGTCTTTCTTGGAGTATTTCTATACACCAAAGAATCCCAGTGAACAAACAAGGCACACCACTAGTCTTGCAAGTGAATCAGAGGGAATGAGGGAGGTTTCAGTGACTTAACATAAAGAGTGTTGGCATTGGGCCTGCAGCTGCATGCAAGTCATGGCCCTTCCTTGTGGTGTTCACTTGTATCCCATGCAAAAGACCAGATGGTCACACGATCAGGATGATTTGATATGTACTGAGGTAGCGGGGATCGCTGAGGGGACAGAAACCTAGCCAGGACTTGGGGAGGCAGGGAAGGTTTCCTGGAGCGGATGGTACTTGAACTGATCCTTGAAGGTGAACATTAATAGAGTCTGTAATTAAAACAAAATAAGAAGAGTGTGCCAAACACCAGGAGGCAGGTAGGGAGAGACAGAGAGGCGTGTTAGGAGACGGATGCTCACTGGCAAGTGAAACGTGTAATATTAATGGTGGGAGTTGAGAGTAGAGAGTTAAGACACAGAGCCAGGGTGCTCTGGACTTGATTTCAAGGATGATGGGCAGAAAACAAAGGGTTTCAGAAGGTCAAATTTCTGCTTGAGAAAGATACATTAATGAGTGCAATTAATTATGGAGTTATGACAGATAAACCCTGAATTCATTAATGCCATGCAAGATTATTTCTCAGAGGCATATGTTCTAGTTGGCAACAGAAAGACGTCTTCTCCGTGAAGTTACTCAGGGTCCCAGGTTGACACTGGCCTTACCATTTTCAAGACATGCCTTCCAAAGCTGTCTGGTGACCAAAGCTGAGCTAGCAGAGCAGGCAAGGGGACAGAGAAGGGGTGTGCAGAAAGCTCTCAAGGATTAGGCCAGGAGGTGGGCACATGACCTCCATCTGCACTCCACTGTCTAGGACTCAGTAGGCCCAGTCACATGACACTGCTAACAGCAAGGGAGCGTGGGAAACGAGGCTGTGGGAGAAACAAATAACTTCCTCTCTATCCTTTATTGTTCTTAGTTGGGAAAGATCCCTGTGGCAAAACATAATTAACAAGAAAAAAATCAAACAGGGTTTTATCGACACACATGCCTCATGTGTCCTTGGTAGATGTGCAAGGAGCAGTGAGGGGACTGCAAAGAGGTGGCTTTGGATTCAGGTTTAAATGCCTTTGACCACTGAAACAGCACCCAAGATCAGTGATGGGGAGACGCCCAGTGCTATGGTTTGAATATCGCTGCAGAACTCAAGTTGAAATTCAATTGGCATTGTCATCATAATAAGAGGTGAGGACTTTGCGAGATGATGAGGTTACGGGGGGGGGGGTGCCATTTTGGATATGTTGAATTTGCAATGTTTATGAGAAAAAAGGTCATCGGAGTATAGTCTGGGCTCAGAGAGAAGACAAAGGCAGTGGGCCAATTAGGGAAGATTAACAAGTATGAAGCCAAACAAATATGGTTTCTAGACTAAGAAGGAGAGGGAGAAGAAAACCCTGGAACAACAGATGGCAAGAAAGGAGAAGAAAAGGTAATTGTCCAAAGGATCCAGAACATAGAAGTATTCTGGAGAACTTTCCTTATCTTTCTCCAGGATCTTGAGGTCAATGTACACGTGATTGTCTTTGCCAAGTGTCAGGAACCACTTTTTTGATGTTGGCAGAGCAACTCTCTGAAGGTACTTCGTGTTTAGTGGGGAAAATGCTTGGGTTGGTCATGGATTACTTTTCCCCATATCCAGAGAATTTTTCTTTTCTTTTTAAACAGTTTTGGTTAATATATATTTAAATTTCACATTATAATTTTACACATTTATGGAGCACAGTGTTGCATTTTGATGCGTGTATGCAATACATGTAATGATCTGGTCAGGATAATTGGATTACCTGTCACTTCAGACATACATCATTTCTTCGCACTGGGAACATTGAAAATCCTCCCTGTTAGCTATTTTGAAATGGCCAGTTCAATGTTGCTGGCCCTAGTTACCGTCCTCCTTCTCTTATTCAACTGCACCCTGGTACCCCTTCATTATTTGCTCTCCAGCCCTCTCTGCCCTACACTCCTCTCAGGTTCTGGGAACCACCATTCTATTTTCCTGGAGATCAACTTTAGCTTTCATATCTAAGTGAGAACAAGCAGTATTTGTTTTTATGCCTGAAGTATTTCACTTAACATAATTTCCTCCAGTTACATTCAGGTTGCGGCAAATGACAGAATTTCATTCTTTTTTATGGTTGAATAATGTCCCATTGTGTGTGTATACCTCATTTTCTTCATTCAGTCACTTACCAATGGACATGTAGGTTGATTCTGCATCTTGGTCATTGTGAACAATGCTGCAACAAACATGTGAGTATAATCATCTCTTGAAGTACTGAGTTCATTTCTTTAAATATATACCCAGTGGTGGGGCAGCTGGATCACATGGTAGTTCTATTTCTAGTTCTTTTGAGGAATCTTCATGCTTCTTCCAAAATGGTTGAACTAATTTACATTCCCACCAACAGTGTCGGGAGTTCCCTTTTCTTCCCATCCTCTCCAGCACTGTTATTTTTTGTCTTTTTGCAGATTTCATTTCCTCCCCTGGTGATGGGTGGCCAACAGAGATGTTTCCTTCCATGTGCCAAGAGTTCCACCACTGCAAGCTCACCGTATTTGATGAGAAGTTTTGCCTTTTCTTCTTGGAACTAACAGGGGAAGGGAAAAGACTGTCTGTGGAGGTAAGCAGGAGAAGGTGCTACCCAGGAGCTGATAGCCCTTCATTTGGGAACTGTATTCTTCCTTTCTTTATTTAATGGGAACAATAATACCAGCTCAGTGTTGAGGGTAATCTGCATCAGTGAATGGAAGGTTGTTGATAGTAAATATCCCATGCTTCAAAATAAGAATGATGGCAATGTGATGATGATGATGATGATGAAGAGGATGATAGCAGCTTACAAATAGATCATGCCGTGTTCCTGATCACTCTAAGTGCTTTACAAATACCATCTCTATTAATCCTCATAACAACCCTGTATCCTAGAACTCTCATTACCTAATTCCTTTGAACAGGTGAGAATATTGAGACAGAAGAGGCCTTGGTTTGAAGGTGGGAGGAATTCTGGATGGCAACATTGGAACCAGCTCTGAACACATCCCTGAGGATGAACAACTCAGGACACAGGAAGACTTGGTAATTAGGAAAGCATCCATCTCCTGCTGAGCAGGGACCTAGAAACAGGGAATGGCTTGGGGTGTTGAGGTGCATGCACTTCCTTGGTGGGAGAAAAATGGAAGACATGTCACTCCTCCACATTTGCCCTGAAATGCAGAGAATACAGTCTTTCATTGAGCTAGGTTCCGGTTTACCTTCTTCCCTTCTTGGCTTCTCAGATATCCTGGTCCATTCCAAGAGGGGCAGAGAGATGAACGGTGGACCGGCCAAAGTCTAAAAGAAGTTTCCTTTCCTTTCCATCCATCCCATAATATGCATGAGTAGTTTCATGCCTGCCTAGCTTCCATTTTCTTTCTTTGGATTTTTCTTAAAAATGACAACTAGATGTATAAACATATGCAACCACCTAGTATTTTTAATTTTTAATTATTTTTATTTTTATAGTAAATTTACTCAATTGGCCACTTGTTTTTTTTTTTTTTTTCTGTTGCTTGAAACTGAAGAAATTTAACTAGTATGTATCCTCTTCTGCCTTGGTTTTTCCACCTATGAAGTGGGGATAGTAAAACTCGCTGCTTACCCTCAGAGGTTATGCAGATTAAAGCTGTATGTCAGTAAAACATTACTAGATGCTTGGATGAAAGTTGTTGTAGAACTACAAAGTCTTGTCCTTAATCCTGTCTGTACTTTCAAATGTCTTTCCTGACATATCATAAAGCAGCTTTTATCCTGAGAAGGGGTCCCTCCTGCTACTATCTCTGTGAACAGTCCCAGGATTGCACACCGGCTTCCTGAGTTCCAGGCCCCCATTCAGATGAAAGTACAGCACTTCAGCCTGAGAAGGAGTTGCTCCATACACATTGTGGCCATTGTGCATTATTTAATGATAAGGATGTCAGCTCAGTTTCCCAAGCTGTCACTTGTTTAGTTTCTAGGGTTAAAGCTCACTCACATTCTGACCTCAAATCAAAATAACATGTAAAAACCCACCAATTTCAGAGTGAGAAGAGCTGCATCTTATTAGAGAATTTGACAATTAGAAAAGTATGTATCATGGTTAAAACTGAAATGCCTTCTGGGTTATAAGTATTTTATAAACATTTATTATCTTCCTGGGAAGAGGTTTTTACTTTTTTATACAGATATAAGCCTTTATTTCACATTTTTGTCATAATTCACTTTCTAATCAAACAGGTACTGGGTTTCAGAGTTTAAAATACCAGGAGACTAGATGCTAAGTGTCTTCCAGGTAGGAGCCCAGACATGGTCTCTCCGGGGTCAGGTGTTCCTGGGGTTCCTAAGCAGCACAGATCAGCACACCACTTTGACTTAGAGCTGCCTCCTTTTGGGGGGGCTATCAGTCCTCATTTCATGCCAGATTTTCACTTGAGGCTACCTATTTTTCCAAATGTGTTCATGACCATAAGTAATATACCATATGCTGAAGAAAACTCCCCTAAGATGTGCTGCATGATCAAAACATTTCCATCCCAGGATGGTTCTGGCTGGATCTATGGCAATAATGGCTTTTAGGGCATTCCCTGCTGTGAGCCCTGGGAGGAAGGTGATAGCCCTGTGGGCACAGTCATGATCACACCTGATGCAATGAGAGGAGGTCCGAATGTTTCTGTGGCAACTTGACACACACTGTTGACAAAATTAGAAACAGCTAGATATGCTGCCACGAACTGCTCTTGACTCAGAACATTCTCTGTGCTGGAGGAAAAGCTCCACAAAACATATATTTTCTGCCATGTGAAATAAGGAGAAATGGCCGTGTGTGACAGCAGTGTTGGAGAACAAAGGACCTTTGAGGCTGGATCGGTGTGAAGTATCTGATCATCGTCTGCTGTGGAGGAGGTCCTCTCTATAGACAGAGCACAAGGACATTTGTAGCTATGATACCTGTCACAGTCCTTTGGCTATCACTTAAGGTATTCTACCATGGGTCAATCCCCTTTGTGAGGTCTTCTTCTTTTTGTGGTTTCATGCTATTGAACCAATCAACTTTTATGCCATCAAAATAACTGCGCCCGAGGATTCTCCTTACTAGAGTATCCGGCAATTGTTAACCACATGTGACTCTTGAGTTATTATTTCTAAAGGAACCAATTTTTTATTTATAATTTACAAACATTATCAATGCATATTCATCAGAGACAATGTGGAAATGTGGAAGTGTAGGAAATACATCAGTATTTCAAAAACTCACTCACCTGCCATGACTGTTCATTACATTTTCACACATTCCATTTTCCTTTGGGTCATAATTATTTCACATTTATTGATACATTTTTTTCTGTACTTTTTTCTTTTTATATTATATTATAACTCTGTCAGTTACCTATTGCCACTCCAACTCTCAGTAGATTACAATAATGACCATACATGATTGCATATGGGTTCAAGGGGTAGCTGAAAAGTTTCTTAGATACTCTGTTGACTTGGTCATGGGTCTGCCACCAGATGATCTTGGCTGGCTCTCAGACTGGTTTGGGGGTCTACAGAACTCCCACAGATGGCTTCTTAAGTCCAGGGTTGTTCACATGGAGAGAAAGACGGGGTGGGAGGCAGAGAATAGAAATGGTTTCATCCTCACTGCCACCTGTTGCCCATGTAACTTACAAGCCCCACATGGGTACTAGGGTGGGGAAGTCGATTTTATCTCTGGGTAGGAAGGGGCTTCCAGGTCATTTGCAAAGGTCAGGGATGGAGGAGTAAAGAATTTCAGCTAGTTTTCCCCATCAATTGAGCACACTGTCAAGTACACTTGGGTGGTTTTCTAGACATTTGCAATGGCCATATAGTATTACACTGAGTGATTCCATTGTGGTGGTTTGATTGTGACCCCCAACGTTCGTGTGCTGAGACCCTAATTCCTCAGTGTTCCCTTTTGGGAGTGGACCCTAGTGAAAGGTGTTTGGTAGTGGAGGAGGAGTCCTTGTGAGTGGATTGAAGCCTTTCTTGAGTGAGTTTTTGCTCTGGAGAGACTGGCTTAGTTACCCCAAGAGTGGGCTGTTGTAAAGCCAGGGCACCTTGTGTCCTTCCTCATCTGCATGCACGCTGTGACCTGCAGCAGCACAGGTGGGGCCATAAATTGAATAGATGCCAGAGCCAAGATCTTAGCCCTCTCAGCTTCCAGAACCATGAGCCAAAATAAACTTCTTTCCTTATAAATTACTCCTGGCTACTGTGGTAACAACAGAAAATGGATTAAGACACTCATCATAGATAATCTGAAGCATTCCCAATAGGAAGGCATTTAGGTTTTTTCTATTTTATTTTTGATGGCCAAATTATATGGGACCATAGAAGTTAGTACTTTAAGGGTTTATAAATATTCCTATTGGTTTATTTATTTTTTGTTTAATTTCTTGAAAAGAATTTTCCAAAAGGCTGACACCAATTTAAGTTCACCTCTGTGGTCTATGAGGACTTATGTCACGGCCCTTCCACTAATATTAAGTACTGAAAAAATAATCTCTGCTGAAACAAATGAAGAACCTCTCCACAAGTCTTGTCAGTGTAGTTGGCATTTTACAAACTGCTGGTACAGAAAGAAAGGAAGGGAACAGAGAGAAGTCCAGCAAAAGGCCAGCCTGCAGTCCACCAAGAGGCCCCTGTCCTGCTGTGTGGCCGTCTCAGTTATTCGTGATGCTCCTCAGCGTGGACACTGTCTGGAGTCACGTGAGGAAATGCGCTCTTCCTCTTTTACTTCACTGTGTCCCTAGACGATTTAATCACGGGACTCATTTTCTGCATCAATGTTAGAACAACTGTTTTGAGTGGGTCATTTTCGGGGAAATGGCATCATAATAAAACATAGCTTTTCCTCAAGGTAGGAATTTCAGACTCTCTGGTAAGGCAGGGTGACTCAACAGAGCCGGGACTTCTGATCATTCCTACAATCACACTAAACTTCATGAAAAAGAAATGGAACTTGTCAATGAAAATAGCCAGCTTCTCTTTCCTCCCAGTCCTTCTGTTTGCAGAGATGTGTCCATGAGCTTTTAGGCTTCGAGGGACACATTCTTTGCTGAAAACAGCACTGGGTTTTTTGTGGCTGTTGTTTTGTGTTTCTTTTTTTTGTTTGTTTTGTTTTCCTCCTCCTCAAATCTCCCCAGCAAAACAAATTCTGGCCCCACACCTGGGGGGCTGGGCCTCATCGAGACTTCTCTGCTCCAAGTGTGCTCTGCAGAGTAGTGCTGTCCACACCACCTCAGGCCTCCCACGCCAGCAGAACCGAGTCTGCACTTTAACAAGATGTCCTGGTGGCTCCTGTCACATTACGAGTTTGGAAGCCCTGCAGGGGCCACGTGGGCCATCTAAGGGTTGTGTCTCTTTCTCCTGCTACTTGGTCTTTCTGAAGTCTATTTCAGCCTCCACCATACACTAAAAAGAGTTACCTGGGCATTCTGCTTTCAGTCCTTTCAAACTCTCATCCAAGCAAGGTCACAGCCCCATTCTCCTGGTTCCTTTGCACAGGTTAAACTCACTAGAGAAAATAATGTGACCAAATCAAACAGCAACAGCAACAACCCCACCAAATACGGAGGCAGAGCAGCACGGCAAAATAAAGGGAAGGATTGAACCAAGCCTGGGAGGCAGACGCAGACCCTGCTCCTGCAGGAATCCTCGTGCCTGCCTTGGGATCTGAGTCACAAGCCTGGCTCCGTTCCTCACTCTGTCTTGGGACTTGCCCAAAGTGGCCTGCACAGTGGTCCAGGGCTCTGTCCTAGGGTCCTCTCTGCCCTGGCATTGGGGTCCTGGAGTCTCTGGCAGAGAGTTTCTCATAGTCCCCCCCATGGCCCTCGCAGGCACGAGAGAATGCTGATTACCCTGTGGCCAAGAACTGGAGGGATGTATCCTCAAGGCCATGCCTGCTCTGTCCACTTTCCCATGTTATTTTCCCAGATGTGTTTTAACAGGTGTCAATCAAAACCCTGAGCTTTTTTGAAAAAGAGACCCTCCCTCAAGCCAACTTTCAGGGAAGTGGCTTGGTTGTGGCAGGCCTCACAAGGCCCTGGGTTTGACAGGCACATGCATCTGCAACATGGGGTCATTCTTAACAGCTGCTGGTCTCAGGGTCATTAAGCATAAAAACTCCTTGGGAGATAGGAAGTGAGGGTGGCAAGGGATGGAAGCCACTTGGTGTTATAAAGCCCTGATTACGGACTGTTCAT